TTGAAATGTTTCGCTACGTTTTATGTAGTGGGTATTTTTTTCGAATGCTTAGAACCGTTGAAATGTAGACCATTGTAGCTGTCAAAGCCCGGATAATTTATCTTCCTGTGTGTACAACCAAGCACGAATTTTCTACCTTTAGACAGCAATGAGATGTCACGGGGGATGTACAAAGTTTGAAAGATCTGGGTCATTCGTATGCATCGGAACCCGCGATTGATTGGCCACAGCTGTGTGCAACAAATCAACCGCCGCCCCAAGCAATCTAAGCGATCAAATAATCCAATTATTCTATTTGTATAAGGCGCCAACAGTTGGAATTGCTCGGATAAACAAAACGGAGGTATAGGTATCCTGAGTGGGAAACAAAGGATGGAACGAAGGATATCATCTGTTGATCGATTAATGGGCAGCGTCGTCACCTTAGTGTAATGCGTAGAAGGTGGGTGGTATGATTGACTGTCCGCTTTACTGGAAACGCCATGACAAGTTCGCATATAAACGTTTTGGGTTGTCAATTACAGCCGTTCCAATTTTAGTCCTTTTTATTTCAACTTAGGCCATACATGGTTAAAAGGGCGTATAGTGTGCTAAAAGTCGAGTAACCGTTACTTCTAAAATTCCGTATGGCTTCGACCTAAAAGTTGCGACATCATAAAGCCTAAGAGTATCACGTGACAAGTAACTGTCCGGTGTGAAGCCCTAGTATCAAAACTCGATCCAACCAAATAAATATCCGACAGCCCCTTGTTCACGTGCCGTTTCATTCTGCGTGACCGGAAGACTTGTTGTTACTAGAATGCGTACGCATTTGGGCAGTGGTGCTTCGTGAGTACGCGACGATCCACGCGCTGACGATGTTGTCTTGATCGTCGATGGAATGCCGCCAACCAAAAATTCTTACCCAAAGAATAAATCAATCGTTATCATCAAATTCTGATAAACTTTTTGTCATTAAATCATCCTATTTAATAAGGCAGAAAAAAGTTGGCTAAAATGATACGAACCTGGGGATAGCTCGTTGGCATCATTTAGGGAAAAGGATATTAAGCGCGTCAGCTTCACTCTGACTGGATATGAAAGAAACTAATGAATTCCTTGACGCAAGTTGCTGTGCAAGCCTGCATTTACTTTCACTTAAGGAACGACAGAGCCTACCTTTTTTTTCGTGACAAACTATTCGTAAATGCCATGAATTCCAAAAACGGCAGCACAAAAGTAGTGAATTTCCTGAGCGAAATTTAATGATTTTTGCAATGCATATTACCGGCAACCAATGTATATTTAGCTGTATACCGTAGGTTTTTCTGTTTAGTTTAGATTTAGTCATGATTTCTTTCCCTCGTTACTCACTCCGGTAAAATAGATGATCGCTTTATTTTCAACCCAGTTTTTATAGCTGCTTGTCATCATGAAATTTGAGGAATCTGATGTACTGATGTAATGATGATACTACTGATCGGGAGGCACGCGAGTAGTATGAGTTGTTCGTAGAATTTCGCTTCGCGTCTATTGAAAAAGAAAGATCTGTTGCGGAATTCGTGGAGCCAATTTTCTAACATTTGCTTGGATTGAGCCGAGAAATGAGTGGAGTCAATGAATCTCCAGGAAATGTTGCGGAATTCGTGGAGCCAACTTTGTAACATTTGCTTGGATTGGGCCGAGGAATGAGTGGAGTCAATGAATCTCCAGGAAAGTTCAGGTAGACTCGTTCGGGAGAAGATCGTTGTCCAGGTTTTTCTAACTAAGATGCAGATTAGAGTTTTGCTTCCCTGTTCAATGGTCTGTAAGCGGTCAGTTGGCATTTTCGAATAAAAAACTCCGCAGCGAAGACCTTCTTCCTTTCACTGATAGTAACTTTGGACAATAAAAGCTGTGAGCTCCTGTGCTCCAACGAAAAGCCAAAGTGTTGTAAAGGACGCAGCTCTTACAACTTTAAAACAATGGGATCTGCATTTTAGAGCACAACTTTCGTAGACGCTCTAGTTTTATGCTTGACCACCAAGTAGGAATCATATGTTTGGAATCAACTACTTATACATCAACAGTAACTCGCGTGATTTCAACCACAGACAAGAGAAAGTTAAAGATTTAAAGCTGAGGAAAGCTGATTTTTTAACGCTCCATCTGATGTTCAACTATGCTGTTACACCGCAATATTCAGTGCGTCTTTCCTCACGTGCCACTGTGAGTAGGTTTTACACAAAAGTTGGAGCAATTAGTATTCAGAACCACCTTAGCTTCTTTGTTGACCGGCTTCAAGAGGGAAATTATTACCACTGTTTTGATCACCAATCCGAGTCGTCAGAATCTGTGGCACTCAAGCTCGGAAAACCGTGCGTCCACCTATGAGGATGATGATTTGTCCCTAACATGCAGATTTATCACCACAAGTAGTGGATGGACGATCTCTTGCTGACAGTTCTTGTGTATGAACTGTACTCAGATGCAGCTACATTTGATCTTTCTCATCACTGTATACTTCATGTGCATACGTAAGGCCCATTTGCACATTATCAGGAAATGAATTTCTACCTCACGATCATTTCCCTGGAGTTTTTCGTTGGCTGCCTCAAATGAATCGTGAATTGAACAAATACTGTATCGGTATGAAGCTAAGAATGTTGCTGTGCTAACGTTCGCTGCCACTTTTGCAAAAACGCATAGTTTATATTCCATTTTAGTACCGGCAACTTAGCATCCAGTTGTTTGGCAAATTTCACCTTTGTAATCTTACCAAGACTCCACGTCAGGCGAGATTGCCCAAGTGGTTAGAGCGCGAATTTACTGACCGGAAGGTCCGTGGTTCGAACCCGACCACTGCCTCTCGACTTCCCCTGTCTAGGCTTGGGCAACCTGGCAGTATCCCAGCCCTCGTGCTTCCTTCGGGTGGCATGGCAGCTAGGCATCAAAATGGTGTAAGAACTGAAAGTCAAAAGAGCCAGAATATCCTAACATTACGAAATTAAAGGTACAGCTCGCCTTATTATCAGACGTTCTGTTCCAGCGGAAACCCTTCCTTTGAAAACCCAATAGTTGATGGTATAAATATTTCTTTCTTGTTTTCGTTCTCTTTGCGGACACGGATCGCATATCTGACCACTAAGGAAGAATTACTTCCTCAAATGTATGTACTGCCTGTCACAGAGTAAGACGAATCTGATAAGAGTACGGCATTTCCCATGCACTTAGGGTTAATTACTGATATGAATACTCTCCATTAAACACCCTGTCTCAGCTCGACAGTAAGTGCCTACCATTTTAAGAAATACCGGCACCATATGGACCAGGTAAAATGGAAATATTATTTAGACTGCTTCATGTGTAAGAACGTCGAAGTCAGCACGAATCTATCGAATTTCATCAGCATACCCAGATTTGCGATGCCACAATCCGTGAATCCCGATAAGGTTTAAACTGCGTACTCACAGTTTAATACTTCAACGTTAAACCGAGGTGTATTACAACATATAAGGGTCCATGGCTCGAATAAATATTTGCCCTACTAGAAAAAACGGATAAATATTTGCCCTACTAGAAAGAATTTTCTCGTTGAACTGGACTTTTGTTTTCTGAGATATAAAGCGTGTCTAGCTTTGGCTATCCGAAGTCGGTGGAAGAAACAGGCAGATGGAAATCAAACCACCAGCAATGTGTATTGCCGTTTATTTGTTTTGTTTCGAACAAGTTTGCAGGCAAGCGCCGTCACCTACGTGTGAAAAACAAAACGATTTACCGAAATTTGTGTTTTGATAAGGAAAGATCCGTACCAAAGTTTGTTCTTGATACAAAAGCAGAGGACCCATTACTTTCTTCACTTACACAAAAAACCCTAGGTTTTCAGCGTCTTTGGTCACCTCTTTTTACTATTCTTTGCTACTTACACAGTGCTGGGTCACTATAATCCCCGCGTAAATATTCACCAGGATCATAAAATATTGGTCCTTCACCACTATCGTTTGAAAACGGCTTTTCGTTTTGGCAGGCACCCCCCCTCACATGCGACTAGATTTTCCTGTTAGTTGCCAGGTAACACAAGTATATTTTTCTCCCATCAAACTAAATGAGTTGTCGAGAAATATACTCACTTGCAAATCAATTTGGTTTTCACGGGAAACTCAATTGAATCCTGTTAGTTGACAGGTAACACAAGTATATTTTTCTCCCATCAAACTAAATGAGTTGTCGAGAAATATACTCACTTGCAAATCAATTTGGTTTTCACGGGAAACTCAATTGAATCTCTCGTTTTTTGCAAATCAATTTGGTTTTCACGGGAGAATCAATTGAATCTCTCGTGGGATATCGAAGAGTTTTGAGAGACATTGGGAGTAGTTTCCTTTATGTAAATGAGTTGTCATTTTTTTCGGTAACTACTGCATCCAGTCAACACAGAACACTTGGAAGTAAAATGCTACCAAACTTTGCGCAGAAGCAATAAACTGACTGAAGTTAATCAAGCTCCTCTTGTAAGGCTGTTTAAAGTTTATTTGTATAAGGGTGATGTATATTAATTTGTTCATAATCGCCATGGACGGACGGAATAACCCACGGTGACTGAAGACAATGTTGGAAAATTATCAAAAGGGGAGATGAAGTTACGAAAGTTGCACACTAAGGTAGCCGGCAGCTTCCTGAAAATATAGTTATGCTCAACCGATACTACTTCATCTAACCCAGACTGTCTTGTCATTTTGCATCGATGGAAGGAGTCAAATTCGATATTTTTGCATGCGTTTTTCGGAAGCAAAAAGATGCATTTTTACCGGAAGCAGGAGAATGCGCCGGGAGGCTAAGATTATTCGAAATTCAGTGAATGTTTCAGCTGTCACACTGAAGAAATCATTTAACTTCCGTTACGAGCTGGCAAGCTGAAAATCAGACGGTTCCTGCACGCCCATTGGTTAAGTTTACGAATGCTCTGTGCACCCTTAAAGAACAGCTGATCACCTGTTGACTTCATTTTGTTCCCGGTTTTGTCAAGCAGGCTTAGTTGACAGTTATAAAGAATGCAGTTCTCGCCAAGAATCAGAATGATGCACTACCATATCGCCATGATAATTTTGAACAAAAAGTGAACACGATAGTTCATATTGCCCTGAATTAGCCGTGTATTGTTGCGTCACGTCGATAAACCGCGAAGCCACTAAACAACATGCGACGCTTTGCATAGTCAGAATAAATCAAGCCAAATAGTGAGATCACACAGTAATCATCGCGATATTGAAGAAAAGGAATGATGAGTTTTCTGCCTTCATGTGGTTTACTTTATTAAATTGTATGAAATGCGCAGAGGTTCTTTCTCAACCATTCTCCACTCGCTCGCAGATTTTGACAAAACTTACTTAGCTGTTTAAGAAAGCATTTAACCCCGAACGAGAATTGAATGAACCAGGCCAGTGACAAACAAAAAGCATCCCCACTCTGCTGGTCAACGCAGAGCGCGGACTGTTGCGAACGTTCGGTCTGATTTATCGGTCGTTTCAAGGTCTCCTAGGTGATTTGTCAAAGCACGATATAGACTGTCAAACTGATCCGCTTCAAGATAGCTTGTCACATTCAGTCAAAAATAAATATGACTTTTTTCATGTTTTTCTGTTTGAATGACTGATTGTCGAATACCACTGGAAAGAGTTTGCCTCATACATGTCAGTCACTACAAGTTTCTACAAATCTTTAAATATCTACGGTTATTCTAGGTCATAGTCACAAACTAACCGTGCTGATTAATTATTCAACCGGCAGGTTGGCGATAAACTATATATTATATATTCGTATTCATAAAACTGGACAAGTGATCAATGACCTCTGAACACCTGTTCATTCACCGGTGAAATAATTTGACCAGCAACTTATTGATGGGAGCAGTACTATGACAGTTAGCTCCATAACTTAAACAAAGCATCTTGCTTGAAAAAACGAGAGATTCAGCTGGGTTCCCGATGAGTCTCCCGCAAACCGAATTTGTTCGCAAATGAGTGCAGTTGGCTAGTTTCGTGCAATTTGTGTTCAAGTAGAACATAAATTTGACGGAAATTCGGGGACTGCGCCTGTCTGTTAAGCCCCAAAGGAAGGCGAAACAAGCCGTTGCCTTCTTAGTACTCTGATCGATGAAACTAATCAATGCAGCACCGGTCCAAAAGCCGCCTACAAATATGCAAACTTTTAATCTGAATGAATCCCAAAGTTCAAGAACCCAAAATGGTCTTTTATGTAAGCTCATCGACCGTGCACATATCATTCTTGTTACCGAATGTGAGATCCAATCGCCTAATATGCAAATTAAGGGTGTTTGTCGCTTCTCTGCTAAAGCGCACTAGGTGCGTCAGAATCCCAAATAACGAGTTCGCTCCAAGTGCAACTTCGAAGAAATGTTAGCCACGTTCAACTTGAGAAAAAACCAGGTTTTTTCCGTTATGTACTTTGTATTCTCGCTTCGAAAGGCTTTTAGCCTCAGAATTAATTGGGGAAATGCTGCAGTCAGCCTATCACCTTCGGTCACTCAGTGAAACAACATGCTGAAACCTACTTTGGCTAATCTGGTCTAATCTGGTGATGAAAGTAGGCTTTTGGACTTTTTTTTCGGGTGTACGATTACAACTACTGATAATAATGAGTAGGCCAATTTGATTAAAATATGAAAAAAATTGGCCTTGCTAAAATCGCTTCCCTTTGTTACCGTTACAGTTTTCGAGATAATTTTCCCTACTCTGTATTGCTCCAAACTCTTTCATCTCTCCAACCGGCGGTTGACTGTTAATTCAGTCAGGGGACCAATTTAATATTCAACATTCGGCTAAGTGACCATTTATGATCGGTACGCCCGACAGACAGGTCTGCTGTCAACTACAATCCAGTGGGCGAATTTCCGGTCTAACAATGCTTCAGAGATGGGTCTGATCAATGTTGAGGTGCATCCTAATCCATTCGACTGAATGACGGTCGCGCTTTGTGGGGTGTGTACGTTCTCCTGGGGATAGGACAGGAATAGAATGTCATTTTGGACGGCGTCGTTGACAGTTACCGATCATCGTTGGATGATGAAAAGTTTCCGTTGCCTGGACCATTTGGAAATATGACTTAACAGAAACGAATTCGTTCGGTTCGTGATTTATGTCTAGGGTAACCAGAAGGTGAGTGCAACAGTGTCTGCTTGGCATAAACTGACTGCATTTAGTTGATCTCCCTGGTGGGACTGGTTACACGAGAATGGAATTGAGTTGACACCAAAAACGGCTTTCTCTTGGAGAGAGAAGCAAGCTTTTTTAGTCGTGAATAATCCGTGCACTCATCCACACCAGAACTCGTAAGGTAACTGTACAAACTGTTACGTTACAAATGGCATTTAGGCAGCGTGTCGGACAAAAGATTTAATTTGCACACTGCACCAAACCACACTGCACAAATGACGAGATCCATTTGAGTTTTTTCTAAAATGTTCGTCTAATAGCATCCTCTTGACGGTTATTTGCTTGAGGACAACTCGAAAGAACCTCTCACGCGTAACTTATGGATTACTGCAGAAGAGCTCCGTGTCTCACTTAGTGATATGCACTTGCCTATTGCATGTGTCCGAGTTCAGCCTACACACTGCATCCTTCTCCTCGTCTTTTTGCCAGGCCTGTGCGCCCGAAACACCAAGGATCGCCAATGCTGTAACCACGAGCATTTTTTGTGGGAACTTAGTGGTAGTTGGAAAATGTGGCGCCTGCAAAGAAGATCAACGCTCCAAGATAATCATGCGAATGTCACTAATTTAGCAAGACTGTTGACAATACTGGTGAAAAGAAGAGGGCCCTCGCTGCGGAGTTATTAATTAGAAAATGCCAACTGAACGGTTACAGACTATTGGACAGCAAAGCAAAACTCTCATATGCATCTTGTTTACAAAAACTGAATATTCATCTTCCCCTTGAACGCGTCTTCCTAAACTTTCCTGGATATTCATTGAATGTTGCTCAAATCCAAGCAAGTACTACAAAGCGACTCCACAAATTCCGCAACAGATCCAACTTTTCAAGAGACGCAAAGCGGATTTACGAGAAAACATACTACTGGCATGCCCTCCCAACAGTAGTATCACCGTTACACTGGTAGACATGCAAGCGGCACGAGCATTCGTTTCCCGCACGACCACTTATGCATGTCAACCGGCTAACCAGTCAATGAAGAATTTGAGCAATCATAACGAATTGTGAAATCAACACGATATTTTGAACCGCGTCTAATAATTCCATAACTTTTTGCTCATAGAAAAACTGCGCAAAAGCGTAACTTCGCAAGTTAATCTAAAGAATTAGCTTTGAATTTCGAAACCACTTGCAAACAAGGGGTTATTTTGGGGGACAATATATTGGACAACAGGAGGGAAAGAAAGCGAAATCAAGCAAGAACACAGTTATCATCAACAGAACAGAACACAGGACCTAGTGAATATCCGTAAACTTAGTAGTTACCGCTACTTTCTCAGGGCTTAGTCAACCTAAATCAATGTGAAATAGACTTTCCTTGTAAAGATGTATTAGAAAATGAATAGTTGCCAATGGATAATGTGCGGCCTTAATTCGCGACGCGACAGTGGTCACCTCTTTTTATTGGGCGAAAGTTACTCAACCAACAACAAATAAGGATAATCATTGGAACTCTCAAATCAAGTGGATGGGGCGAATGAATGTGATGAGCCTGAATTTCTGCGTTGATCTAACTGACAATTTGAGTGCCTGAATGCCCTTATCCGGCAAGACGAGTAAGAGAAAAAAGACCAAGAATATTTGGCTAATAGTGTGAATGCTATCGCCTTTGTAATTCCTTAAAGGGTCAAGTTGAGCGCACTGTAATATGAGTAAAATAAGAGCTACTCAAGAGCGAATGCTTAGAATATGCTGAAGAAAACACATTTTGGCGCTCACGAGTATGACCAAAACCAACAAAGTTTACAGGAGCCCCTGGTGAAAGACAATCAAAGATGGCATCTGGGCGCAACAAAATCGTACATCTATTAGCCAAATGCTGACAGGATTAATTTGGAGAGAGTGCAGAGTGGCATAAAGCTGTGGTGCATACCTTGCCGGGTTAGGGTTAGGGTGAGATTGGATAAAAAGGCAGACAGTTTTCGAGAAATACATTAACTTGCAAATCAATTTGGTTTTCACGAGAGACTCAACTGAATCTCTCGTTTATCATATTCCACAACTGAATGTGCTGCACAAAGGCCGCTTCATGTTTTAGTTGGTACGATATTCGAGATATCTCAGTATATGTATATGTGTAGAATATCATAGACGAGAGATTCAGTTGAGTCTCTTGNAGGAAACCCTTCGACAGTCCACGACCGGCGCTTTGTGTGCAGTACATTCACTTGTAGAATATAATGAACGAGAGATTCAGTTGAGTCTCTCGTGAAAAACACGTTGATTTACAAATGAGTGTATTCCTCAAACACAGTGCAATTTGGGTTCAAGTAAATCATAAGTTTGAGGGAAACTCGGAAACTGTGCCTACCTGATGAGCCCCAAGAAAGGCGAAACCGGTCGTGGGCTGTCGAAGAGTTTTTAGCAACCTTATGAGTAGTTACCTTTATGGGACAGATAGTTGTTGTCCACTGTCATGTTTATGGTCCCGGCGTCACATCTTTGTGAGCGCCAGGATAGCTATTTCCGAAATGACGTTGACATGGCTAAACACAAGGTTGTGTTTCTCTGGAAGGTGTGCATGGCCACGGTCGTACTGAAACAGGTAGTATCTTGGAAATTCAGTCACAGACGGCGCCTGAGTTGGCGGTTTTTATCACTATGCCTAGGCGTGAACAAGTTCGCCTGGTCAGATGTGTTCAACGGGCGTTGGTGGAGTTGTGGTAGCACGCTTGCCTCGCATGTCAGATGTCCGGGGTTCAAATCCTGGCACGACCATTGAATATGAACTGCTGATGAGGTCTAATAAAAGCAAAACTCGAGTCCAGTGCTTCCCTTTGGTGTAGACTCATCGGAATAATTACTCCAGAATAGGAATAAGACCGATGGTGCGAATATTATCTCGAATTTTCTTTTATTATGGTCCTTTTTAAATTCAGTTCTCATAAGCTTGATGCTCATCACTTCCACCACAAGGATAATAGGAATTTTAGAACGAGTCTGCTTTCAGATGTCCGGTTTCCTCGCAAATTTATCATATGTCATTTATTCATATCAACTTCACAGGCATCTGTGATTCCCGACCTCTTGGTAATGCTTGCAAAGGCGGAAAACGGTATGCACTTTTACTTGGTATGCTAATTAATCAATCCTCCGAAGAATGAAACGTGCAGTGGACTGCTTCTCGGTCATTCTGTCTGTGTACAGCCCAAATCCTTGTCTAGTGGGCACGGTTTGGAAGTTGCGCGTGTTCTTCTGTTCAGCTGTGCATACTTTCGTTTGTCCGCTGGGTTTTCTTTCCCACTTTCAATCATCTTGTCCACAATGCAGTGTAATCATCTACCGGCGTGGATTCTTTGCGAATCAATTACTTGGACAATGTGTTGTTAGCAAGCCTTTGATCAGACCGATACGGTTTTAATTAAGGTCGATATCCTAATCCCTATTAGGATCAATAACGGCACTTGGTGACGCGTATCATGTCGTATCGTAAAATCAAACACACTGTTTAGAAATTCTGTTTCGGTGAATAAACCGCAGCGCCCACGGTGGAAAGCAATCAATAACGGGAGAAATACGTCACTGAGCACAAATTTGGCGCAAGTTGGGGTGATAAAAGGCATCTTGCCATTGGCACCCTTCCAGAGGAACAAGGCGCTCTGTTCGATCAATCGGTGTTCACCTAACAGGGGTTGTCGACTCACGCGCAGAGGCGGTGCAGCTGCACAGACCGCAACGAGGGACGTAATGCACCGACGATCCTCGGCAGACCTGAATGATAGAAAGCGTGAGCAGTGTGTTCACAAATATTTTACGATTGAATACCTGGCAAAATACGGGGCGCAAACTACTGATTCATATCACAGAGCAAAATCTGCGAGAATTGGTGAAAACCTGAGTAGCGCACTCACAAAAATTTTACGATTGAATACCTGGCAAAATACGTAGCCGGTAGCCAAAGACCGTTGGCACGACATTGCAATTCTATTCGGATTTCGTATTATACAATTCTGAAAAAATTTGCAACTTCAACGGACAGTCACTGGTTACAGAGCAGTTAGTGTGGGAACAAGTCATATCAACAGTTAGTGATCAACACTTACGGTATAGCCGTCTTGAAGATCAATTCTGCGCGCATGACAAACAGCTCTCGCACAGCAAGTAGAAATAAATACTGAAATTTTTTCGAGAAATACACTCGTTTGCAATCCACCTTGGCCGGGTTTCGGAATGGCTTTGGTCTCACACAATTACTGTGTTAGTGAGTGTTCAGGTGGGGTTTAGTTGGCACGATATTCGAGATGTCGCAGTATATTTTCATGACAGAAACTACTCTAAAAGTGGCTGAAAACTCTTCGACATCCCATGACAGCCCCAAGAAGGGCAAGACCGGTTGTGGGCTGTCGAAGAGTTTTCAGCAACCTTGTGAGTAGTTTCCTTTATGAAAAAATACTGAAACTGTTTTGAGGCAGATTTTTATGAGAAATTACTTGATAGACAGCGCCAGATCATTTACCTTTTCTTAAGGATCCTGAAGGCACAAAAATGCCCCAAAATGTGTCTATGGCACAGAACGCCCAATGGAAATCGATTACTTTAGGTGGCTGCGAGATTTTACGTTCACAACACTCGTCTTCTCCTTGTGTGCTGGTTCAATCATTTCAGTGAATCCACACTGAATGAGGGAAGCACTGGACTGGTATTTTGCGCTCATTATAGCTTATCAGCAGTGCGTAATGCGCTTGATCGTGCTGGGGTCTCAACTCCAGATATATGGCACGCAAATTTAGCGTTGTACTAGTACTCCACACCGGATGCATTTGAATTATCACATCTAAAAAAGCGAACAAGCTCACGGTTGAGCGATGTAATTCATCTACCCGAAGCTTCAAACAAGGAGTAAATAACTCTTCTGCCAGGATTTCTCAGTTAGGTAGATCCACCGAAGCTTAAAATCTGTAAAACAATTTTGATTAGTTGTAGGTGGATTGTGGAATGTGGCTAACAGCGCCAAACATGAATTACCAAGCGGTGATGAATGGGTAACCATAATGATCAAGTTTATGGTAGTCGTTGATTAATCATCCTTAAAAACCCGCTTCACTGTCCGATTACCCCACGGATTCGGTAAACTTGTGCTCAACCAATAGGTGCCAGAAGATAAACCGTGACGGATATTTGCGGAAAACTTACTTGTGAATACAACTGTCCAGTTCCGGATGTTAGCACCACAGTCATTCCATCCTCAGCTTACAGTAATTCAGTGTCTCGGCCATGTTCGTTCCCCGGCGGGACAGCTAATTGCTCTTCTATAGTATGCAAATTGACCATACCTAGCTCCGTTAGACAATCAACAGCGTGGCACTAGTAAAACTTGATGAGTTGAACGGGATGCGCTAAGGCCAGCCAAACAGGCCTTCCAACCCCTGTCTCAGTTAGCTCAAAACTCATTAGTATGCGTGCCTCCCCAAACTACGTAAACAAAAATGTTTTACACTCATCCGTTGTAGGTTTCCTGTTTGAAAAATACACCCTTAGTCTCCAAATCAAACTAGACGAACAAGACCTAGAGTATGCAGAAGGCAAAGTTGGGCGTTTTTAGTGAGAGCGGCTGCTTCGTTGTGTACCGATTAGACTACCTCCCAAACCGACGTATGCTGTTCTCTGGGAGGGTGGAATATCATATGGGCCTAAACTTGTTGACGGATTCGGCTTAACACAGTTATTAGTGCGTGGTGAGCAGGCTAAAATGAGACTCTGTATAAAAAACTCTTCAGCCGAGCAAAATCAGCTGAGCGGACTGATTCGAGCTCGATGAATTTTAAGATTACGTAGATCTTTTTCATGAAGGAAACTACTCACAAGGTTACTGCAAACACTTCCACAGCCCACGAGCGGTTTTGCCCTTCTTGGGGCTCGGGCGCAGGTAGGTGCACCACATTCAGTTGCGGAATTTCATAAACGAGAGATTCATTTGCGTCCACCGTGAAAACCAAATCAATTTACGAACGAGTATATCCATCGAAGTCAGTCCAAAAATGGTTCGAGTAGAACATAAGCCTGACGGAAATTGTGGGACTGCGCCTACTGAGGAGCTCCAAAGAGGACAAAACCAGCCGTGAGCTGTTAAACAGTCTTCAGAAACCTTGTAAGTAGTTTTTTGTGAAAATATACTGCAGTATCTAGAATATTGTAACAACTAAAACATAAGGTGGCCTTTGTGCAACATATTCAGTTAAAGCATATCATAAACCAGAGATTCAGTTGAGTCTCCCGTAAAAACTAAGATGAGTTGCAGGTGTGCGTTTTTGTCAAAATTCCGTCAAACTCTTGGTTAGGCATATGAAAGCGCAAATGTCTCCCTAGGTCATCGAGTTTCATGCAAAACTGGGTGTCTAATTTGGCATGTGCGGATATATCACATGACAGGTAATGACATGTTTTAATGAGCGAATGTCTAGCTTTAAGCAAATTTGGCAGTTTGAGTAACAAAGTTTGTAACAAAATTTTCAAACTATTTGTAAGTTTATGAAGGTTTAGTGCTCGAAAGAGAAGAGAAAAACAGTCACTTGTCCCAAAAACGTAGCTTATAACTTTTTCAGACAGCCGAAAAAACATTCCTTTTTGCAAGGAAGGTTAAAAGCTTCTGGTCCATTAGGAACATGCTTCGATACCAACAGAGAACAAGTTCTGTCATGGCAACATTCCATAATGAGTCGTGCACAGATAAATCTTTGTCTGGGAAATTGGTTACTAGATAGACGCGTTCATTCATCGAAAATGGCACGATTTCACTAGGATATAGTGCTTGCAAATTAACGGAAGAAGCTTAAAGACCTTCCAGCAGTCGCCAGTGGAACAGTTTTCCTTAAACCCTTTAGAGTCTAACAGAAAAACCGTCTATCACATGGACCGGCGTAGGAAAGTGACCGGTCGGTAGGTGACACACCCACACAAGCTTGCTGCTTGATTTCAACTGGTCATTTACCTATCATCTATTTGACCATCCTCGCACCAAATTATAAACAAGGACTATGAAAAACTGTGAGAAACAAGTGAATGGCAAATCGGCTATTCACAAGAGTGGCAGAATACAAATTTAAACAGTTCACAGTATCACCGATGGATGACACAAACACTGGCAGTTTTAACTTCACTATTGATCGCTGGATGCCTTCGGTAAGATGATTGTACAACTATCTGTACACCGCCTGTGTGCTGTTCGTTAGACAACTATACTCACCTCGGCTCTCGAGTTTCCGCACATATTGGGCCTTGACTAACCATTATCATCATCATCATCATCGGCCGCATGGCATCAGTGTTCTACAACGATGCCTTGCTGTCGTAGAGCCATGATTTATTTGAAAGCCTTATTGTGAAGGATAAAAGTGTACGGGAAAGGGACTTAGTGCTAACATAATACAATCATCCCGAGGTGCCTACACCTCCAGACTCTCATTTTAGGCAATCTGGATAGCAACAAAACCGCCACTGACATCAGTTAGCAGCGATATCTTGCAGCGTCTCCAACCAGGCGCAGTGGAATAACCAACAACAATAAGTCGCCATTGCAAACTGATGATCTCTATTTGACTAGGCTTGATTTAAAACATTTTTTTGAAGTACACACGCAAAATTCCAACATGTTACGGCTTTGCTGAGTAACATTTTTCTTGATTATCGCTGTGCAAGTGGAGATGTTCTCTGTCGGTAAGTGTGCTCCGACGTTGTGCTTACTTACGATTCGAGGGCGCAAATTGTCACAATGTCGCGACTGGTTCTCACATCTGAGGATAGCTGTTCTTGGGCTGATATTAAGCAACCGTAAGTACCAGTTATCGATTACTCTTCTATACAGCATCCACACCTAGCTGCTCCGAGGCGCCACGAAAACTGGTTAGTACATGAAACGGCCGCTATTGGGTGGGGGCTATGGTCCAAAAGTAGTGCTGGCCAAAGTAGATTGCTATCTACACAGTCAGACAACTGTTCTTTATCGACGTTTTTTGTCGTTTTATGCCTTAAGACAAGTGGGAAATTAAAATACGGTGCTTTAAGAGGGCAAAGAAATTCTCATACGTTTACCATGATTTGAAGCATGTACGGAACCCGTATCTGTGAAATTAGGCTCTACAAAGAATAAATTCTTTCATTTAAATCGAATATTCCATTTCCCAGGACTTTTTTATTAGGCTTCCATTCGTCCTGCAGTAACGGTAAACTTTGATGACTGGCTAATCCAAGCAAAGTCACTCAATGTACGACGGTGATCATCGTTCAAGGGGAAAAGAAAGTGAATGGAGAAAGAATCTTGTTTAGCTTTAAAGAGGCAATCAGAAATATCATGGTCACCTGGTGTCCGAGTCGATTACGTGGTTAGCAGTCATATATTGCAGTGTCTCAAACCAGAGGCAGTGGAATAACCAACAGCAATAAGTCGCCGTTTCTATTCGGCTGGGCTTGATTTAAAACGTTTTTTGGAAGTATACACGCAAAATGCAAACAGCTTGTGGCTTTACCGAGTGTCTTTTTTCTTGGTTATCGCTGTGGAAGTGGAGGTGTTCTGTGCCCCGTGTACACTTTGTGCTTACTTTCATTTGGAAAGTGCGAATTGTCACAGCGTCATGATTGGTTCTCACGTCTGAAAATAGCTGTTCTCGGGCTGACGTTAAGCAACCGTAAGTACCAGTCATCGATTACTCTTCTATACAGCATCCACACCTAGCTGCTCCAAGGCGCCACGAAAACTGGTTGGTACATGAAACGGCCGCTAGTGGGGGGGCTATGGTTCAGAAGTAGTGCTGGCCACAGTAGATTGCTATCTACACAGTCAGACAACTGTTCTTTATCGACGTTTTTGTCTTTTTAAGCTTATAGACATGTGGGAAATTAAAAAAACGGTATTTTCAAGAGGGGAACGAAATTCTCATAAGTTTACCATGATTTGAAGCATGTACGGAACCCGTATCTGTGAAATTAGGCTCTACAAAGAATAAATTCTTTCATTTAAATCGAATATTCCATTCCCCAGGACTTTTTTATTTGGCTTCCATTCGTCCTGCAGTAACGGTAAACTTTGATGACTGGCTAATCCAAGCAAAGCCACTCAATGTACGACAGTGATCATCGTTCAAGGGGAAAAGAAAGTGAATGGAGAAAGAATCTTGTTTAGCTTTAAAGAGGCAATCAGAAATATCATGGTCACCTGGTGTCCGAGTCGATTACGCCTGCTCTAAGAAATGCGCAAATGCAGGTGAAAACCGCGCTGTTTCAATAAGCACACTCGCGCTTTGGCAACAGAGTCAAACAACTCTAGAACAGAAATAATTCAGCTCAAACGGATGTGACAAAAAACCTCTGTTGCATTTTTATTGATTCGTTTGAAGTGAAACACGATGCTGTTCAGTGTTGAAAGAAAAACATAGCTAAGTTTCCTCCCGCTGGCGGATTCTGCGCTGAACAGCGGTATTCGCAAAAGAAATACTTGATGAGCGAACAAGTAGCAGTCGATAAATATGACTGACGTATGAATTCACTTCTGGTACTTTTTGTTTTTTAAGTTGCGGTAAAGAGTTCTTAGAAATGTTCTCTTTGTTGCCCACAAGTATTGCTGATGCCAAAAGTGCAGGCTAAAAAGCTAGCTGACCTTCGTGAATAAAAAGGAAACCCTTTCGTTTTGTTGGAACCACAGCTTTGCATACGCTTGGACATTAGTACTGCTCCCCGAAACCGCAATGCTTGCACAAACGCTATTATCGTTGTCTCGGCTGTGACTAGCCGTAAAGGAGTGGAACGGATGTGGCGCACCTTAGCGATTCAATAGTATGGATATGTGTACGACCAGTCGAATGCCCACTGTTTTGCTCCTTGAGACAGCAAGCACTTTCCTCACGCCGATTGAAGGGCGCGTACCCTTGTATCAGCCGAAAATCGCAGTGATGTACGAAAAGCATACAACCTGTATTACGCTTTCATGGCTCCCTTCCTTACAGCTGGGTTAGAAATAACTATTATAAATAAAGATGTATCAGGACATTTTCCTCCTAATATAACAACAGTACGAGGAAGCTTCCACTTTGCTAATGTCTAAACTGCGTGAACCTTATTATACTTGTGTAACGGTGATACTACTGATGGGAAGGCACGCGTCTTTTGAAAAGGAGAGATCTGTTGCGGAATTTGTTGAGGAGCTTTGTAGCACTTACTTGGATTTGAGCGATGAAGGATTGGAGTCA